TGGCTTCCCTTTTTACCCTGTTGGAGAAGTTTTTGGATGTGCATAGGGATTTGATTCTTAGAAGGTCCCATTCATCTATTTTATCTTCTCCTGGTTGTAGGCATTTCCAACTTAAGAATGCACCAAACTGCCATCCATAGTGGTTGCACCATTATACATTCCCACCAGCAGTGAATAAGGGTTCCAATCGCTCCACAACCTCACCAGCATTTACTGTTCGCTGCTCTGTTGACCTTTGCTGTTGTTACTGGGGTGAGATGGTATGTCATAGTTGTGTTTAAGGTAATAATAGTCTTTAGGCATTTAGTTACTTTTGCAACTCATATTTGGCCACAGTATTAGCCTATTTCTTTGCTGAGGTGGTTTCCAGTTTTCAAAAGCTTTACTCAAGTAGTTATTTCCAACTATACTCTCTCTCTCCTCTCTCTAGACACATAGGTTTCACTTTTCAAGAAATTATTTGGGTGAAATCTTTCTCAGGGAGGAGTGATAGTGAATGGCAAAGGACACACTGACAAAGGAGATTAATCAGAACTGGTTTTGACAAGCACTGTGGCAATGGGGCAATTAAAACAGACTTTCAAGGAACATTCAACCTGAATCCTTCTGATCACATGGAGATTTTTGAAAGTATTTCTTTGAGTTTATTATGTTTGTTTTATGTGTTTGTTTATGTATAAAGGATGCTTATCTAGATAATTATGATAAAAACAAAAAGAAATATGGGAAGGCAATACTAAATATTTGTAATAAACTGAATGTTATTTAAATTTAAAAAAAAAAATTACTTACAGCCAGATCATCTTGGAAGGGATTTGTTTATTATTACTAGTTGATGTAACAAATGAAGGTAACATGATTTTTAGAGGAAGAATAAAATGGTTTGGAAGCAGCAACGGGAAGAACATTATCCTTGTCACCAGACCTTAAACTTATTAACAATCTACTTTACAGGAGTTTTCTCTTCCAACATGTCACTTGGGGTTCAGAAATTATTTTTCCTCAGAAATATTGCAAGTGATGATTATGTTTTCCAGCTAGGCCCATAAATTCTTTTTTAAGAGTTGAACTACAACATTAGGTTTATTCTGAATTATTGTTATGTGCCATCTAGTCACCTGCGAATCATAGCGACCCTATGCACAACAGCCCTAAACCCTGCTCTAATCTGTGCCAAACTTACTCTCTCTGACACACTGCCATTACCCCAGACACTGAATCAATCCATCTTATCAAGGGTCTTCCTATCCTGTGCTGTCCCTCCACCCTCCCAAGCATGATGTTTCTCTCCAAGAACTGGTCTCTTTCTGCAACATGTACCAAGTATGTCAGACGAAGCCTCAGAATCCTTGCTTCCAAGGAGCGACCTGATTTAACCCTCTCTAGGATGAATTTGTTTGTTCTCCTAGCAGTCCATGGTATATTCAATACTCTTCTCCAACACCACAGCTCAAAGGCATCAATTCTCATTCTATCATCCTGAGTCATTGTCCAGCTCTCTGATGCATAGCAAGGATTGCAAAGACCATGGCCTGTATCAGGTGGACCTTAGTTTCCTTTCATTTTTTCTAGGTAGAAATCTTAAGTTAGAAATGTCTAAATGGGAACAAATTTCTTTGGTCAAAGGTAAAGAAGCTGAGGACAAGGCAGAGGTCTCCCCGTGGGTAGTGATGAGAACCTTACAATTGAAGTATTCTGAGTCATTCCTGAAGCTTCATAGTAATGAGAACTGTCTATGATGAGTGCTGTCCAGTCACTATAAGGCTTTATGTAGCCCAGCAGAGAAGTATTGAGTTTTGTGAGTAGAAGAGACTGCTGGTGTCAGAATTGGGAAGAAGTTTGCAGGGTGAAATTATCTCTGACCACCACTCCACAAAAATCAGCCTTGTGCTGACAATGATTCTCTTTCTCTGTGAAGTTAGAGTTGGTCAGATGCCTCATCTGTGTAGTTTTTATACTCTCTTACCCTATTTTCTATCTGTACTTAATCTCCCCCACCTTCTAGTATCTTATACTCAAATGCCCTACCTCCCTACCTTTCAGCCAATTCTTCTCTAATAGTTCCGCCTCCAGAAGCTGAACTAGGCATGACTTGAGAAATTAACATAAATAAACCCTTAAAGAAATGTCAGGCACAGTATCAATAGTAAAGTGAAATAGTTCAGGCAATATTAGGGAAAGTATAGGGAGATATACACATTATGTGTCAGGGGTCATAGTCATCTGCCTACTTTATTGAGAAGTATTATTACTACAGTACCTAGCTGTTTGTCTTCTTGATTCCTGAACACAGATTCATTCTTTCACCCCAGGGTTTTTGTGGAAAGCAGAAGTGAGTTCAGCTTCAACACAGAGAAACAGTAAAACCACATAAACAACACATAAAGATACAAAGAATAGGGTAATTTCCTTCATACTTAATGTATTAGTTGAGTCTTCCTACAGATATATTATTTTCACAAACTTGAAATAGATCAATACACACCTTCTCGTTTCTCTTTTAATTTCTTCCAAAAAACTTCTGCTCTGATTTCTTCAAAAGAGAACTCTGCCACTCCTGCATAAACTTTCTCCTTACAGTACATACTCTTCTCTTTCTTCTCCTCAGACTCTTGCTGATGACTCTGAACCCTCTGTAAGGGATCTCCTTCTTCTTTTTTAGGTTTTCGGGTGCTTAGAACGTGGTTTATGCTAGGTTCAATTTTACATGGTGTCCTAAAAGAAGCAAAACTTCTGTTTACAATATGGGCCAAAATTAGTTGTTTTGTACTTGTTTTGCCAAAATACGGAAACTATAATGTGATCTATAAAAAAAAACCAAACCCAAAACAAAAAAACAAAAAAAACCCAAAACAAAAAAAAAAACACCACCAAAACAATCTGAAAAAAAAGAAAAAGAAATCTGATATGAAAAACAATGTATGATACCTTTGTAAGTAAAGCAGTATAAAACAAAAGTTTTAAAATAAAAAAGTCTCCTCTTGCTCTCAGAAAAGAGGAAACAAATTGCAAACCTTGGAACTCTTGTTATCATTAGTTTTCTACCTAAGGAAAAAAAACCCCAAAACCCTAACTCTGCAAACTTTAATTTCTTATATTTATATATAAAATTATATATATGTATAATTTAATTATAGAAAAGTAGCTGGAACCCTTATGCAAGTAGTCTGCATTAGAATATTTTTCTTCTTAAAATCAACTTGTGAAAATCATCCATGACTGTGTACGAAGATTCTAAGGTCCAAACAGCTTGTACTATTCCATCCAGTAAAGTGTGGTCAGAAGAGACAATGAAATGGCCAGGAACTAGAAAAGCTGCAGGACCTCAGTAACGCTAGGCTTGTTAATGATCTATTTGTTAAAGCCATCCAGGTATCTCTGTTAGTTACACTACATAACTATGACACAGCTCCATTTCTAAATTTTAGCTATTTTTTTTTAATCTTTGAAGAAATTGTACACATTATGAAAAACACAAACAGGTCAAAGACATATATGAATTTACTTTTCACTATTTACAGAATAATCTAAAATGCTAGAAAAACTGAACATTCATACATGTGCCTATCAATTTCCTCTATCAATTCTCCTTTGTAAAGGCTCAGATAATTTTCTTAAAATATCCTTTTACAATGAACTCGTATCAGAGACAGAATTTTTGGTCAAAAAAAAAATCTTTTTCATTTTTCTTTTGTTGTTAGGTGCTGTTGAGAACGAGTCACAGTGACACTATGAACAATGGATCTGAGCCTTGCCCTGCCCTGTGCCATCTTTGTCATCTGATACACTTGAGCCTGTAGTTATGGTCACCGTGTCAATCCATCTCATTTAGGGTCTATTACCTCACATATATAACAGGGTCGTAAACTGGTTATGAGAAACTCTTGCACAGAATTCAACCTAATGTGGAACTCAGTAATGTTATTTATTGCATTAGATCTATAGACTAGCCTAATTATCTAACCATTACTTACCATACTTTTTCTTATAAATAAAAAATATTAGTTAGAAGAGAAAAAAAATTATCCAATAGCAAAGAGATAGATGGAGGGAAAACTATGTATCAATAACAAAGGCAGAACATCTCAGTTAAATTACAATAATTAAAAAAAAAATTACAATAATTATCTATGACTACAGCATTATAAATATCAATCTAGTTAAAAAGCTCATTACTTAACAAGAATGCTGCCAAATGGTCTTTTAGCCTTAACACTCTCAAGGAAATACATACATAAAGGTAACACAAAACTTTTGTCTGGTGATTTTTCCCATGGAAAAGAAAATGCTTTAGGGAAATAATGTAGGTGTTTCTACTCACTCCCTCCACCCCAACCTCCTGCCTTCTACTCACTTTTAATAATTTCCACTTAGAAATCAAACTATTTGGATATTACACTCACATAACTGGTTGTTGTGCAGTCTCATCCACGTATGGAGTGAAACTGGGAAGTGCAGAAGATACAGCTGCCGTGTAAACTGTACTGCCACGAGGCTGTAATAAAAAGAAAATGAAAATCACCAGTTTTACATTCTAAATGTACAAGAAGAATGAAAAGAGACACAAAAAATATTCCTCTACTTGGATGTGCTGACATTACATCAGCTGTGGGGTTTCTTACCCTGAATTCCAAGGGCCTGCCTGTGTTCCAGGGGCCAGCTTGCAGCTCATTCTCTTTGGCTCTGGGCACAGGGGGTGCTGTCCATGGCTGGACTGCAGGCTTAGACAACTCTGCTCTGGAAGCTGCATCAGCATTTTCATCAAAAACTGTAATTCTAGAATTACTTAGCATCTGTTGAGGAACTGGATTATGGAGGCCTCTGCTTTGGTTTGAAGCTAGGAAAAAAACATTAAAACTTCATGTAAAACCTTTAATTACCAACTGAGATATCAAATAAATTTACAGTCATTCTTGCCTAGGACAAATCATTACTTCTACTATACCAAAGAATTAAAAAAAAAAAATCTTAAAAAACCACACCCCACTTCATTAAGTGGGTCAATTAGCAACATTTTTACCCATTCTGTTACTTATACTCTCTCATTGTCTGCTTTCTTTCTCCATCTCTTCCTCCCTCAAATCTTATTTATAAAACAGAAATGGCTACACATTTTTTTGAGTCTAACATTGTCTAGTTTTATCAAAATCTAGCTTAATCTAAATCTTCATAACTCAGTTTTGAGTTTTATTCATTCCACAGTTTTAAACTGTCAAGAGACAGTAATCAACTGAGTACAAAGCAATTAATTGACTAAAGGTCTTCTCTGTTGTGGAACTTCAATATAATGTGGATTAAATATCATTTAGGACTATACACTATTCCTAGTTCTAGGATCTTCACGCAACACCCTGGTATATAATTTCCAGGTAAGCTGACACCAAAAAAGAGGTAGGAGACAAAAAAAGTATCTAACTACTACAAATTTAGTTAATTAAAGCTTCAGATTGGTCACCATTTGAGGTACCAAGACAGCTCTATTTTGGTCCCCTAAGATGATGAGATTCTTAACTATGTTAATACCTTATTTTGAGACTTTGGTGCTTCCTCTGACAATATCTACTGTATTGTTGCATACTTTTTTTACATTGTTGCAGTTAGATGCTATTTTCTCAATTTATAGCAGACAAGTGCATAATAAAATGAAATACTGCCTGGGTCCTGCAATTTGAATCTTTTTTTTTTTTTTAGCCAGTGTTTGTCCCTCGTGTCAAGAGTCTCCCTCTTTTTTGAAGACCCACTACTTATCAAGTATGATGTCCTTTCTCCGGGAGCTGGTCTTTCAATGACATATCTCCAGTACGAAGTTTAACTATCTTCCCTGCAACTAGCATTCTGGCTGTACGGCTCTGAGATTTGTTTGCTCTTCTGGCAATCTATGTATATTTATTATTCTTTAACAACACAGTAATACAAAAGCCTCAATTTTTTTTTAATTAATTTCAATGAACATTTACAGAGATTTTGGATTTGCATTCATTCATTGTTGCACTTTTCTCCCCATCCACCCCACCCCTACCCCCACCCCCAGTTCACTCTTCTTGAAAAGCCAAAGAAAAAACTCCTTCATTGGTATACAATTCCCCCCTGCACCCCCCCACTCCCACTCCAAGTATACTCCACTCTACCTCAGTTCTTCTTCAGTCCTCATTATCCAGCTTTCCTGTACTTATGTGACAACTAAAAATACCATGACTTGGTCTAGGTGCACATTAGTTCTCAGAGTGTTCTTTGCTTTTTAACACTTCAAAAAGGTCTTTTGCAGATTACCCAATGCAGTATTTGACTTAATTTCTTGACTGCTGCTTCTATTTATGTTAGTTCTGGTTCCAAATAAAATACTTTACAACTTCAACGTATTTTTTCTCCATTGATCATAATGTTTGCCTATTCAGTTAATAACCTTTAAGCCCAAATACTTTAAACCTTTGATACATTTCTTAATGCCAGACTGTCAAAAATTTAAAATTTAGCATTGTTAGGTTTTACTGTACACTGTGATCCCAGCTCTCCTTAGATTTCCCTTTTTTTCCTACTTAGTACTCAGAAAAACTAGAGCAGTGTCACCATGCATTTACGTATTATCTCCTTAGCTTACTTATTTACCACCCACACTTAGAATTTCCAATAACATTTAACAAATTTACCCTTGAGAGCACTTCCTACACGGCTGATTGGTGCTCTTGCTATCTTCTTCCCTTTGCTTTTCAGATCGGCCAGTGTGCTTCGTTGTGGTTCAGAAGATTCAAAAACTTCTTCCTCATCTTTCTCAAGTGCCAACAGAGACTGTCGAGATACTCGCATTTGGAATTGTCTAAAGTAAAGAAAAAGGTCAACTTGATGATATCCCAACTATTTACTGGATTTAAAATTTCCAGCTTTTTAAAACAAGTACTCAAACAAGTGGGGGATAACATAGAATAGGGATATTCCTAAAGAAAGCATTTATTCTCTAAAGAAAAAGAGTTATTTTGATTCAAAGAAAGTTCTAGTAAAATGATTTGCCCCTTTTAAGCATTCAGAGAGCCCTGATGGTACAGTGGGTTAAACAAAAGAGTGGCAGTTAAAATTCACTCTGCCAGCCAGAAGATGAGCACTGGAAACTCTGAAGTTCTAATTCTGTCCTGTGGGGTCACGGAGAGTCAAAGTGGACTCAAAAGCAACAGGATTTGGTGTAATGGGGTAGGTGTGTCAGAGACAATACAGTTGGCTCAGGATAGAAAGGGTTCAGAGCTGTTGTACATAGGGTTGCTATGAATCGCAGGTGACTCATGGGCAAATAACAACAAAAACAATAAATCTGATTTAATAGTCAATTAAAAATATTTTGAGTTTCACTATTATGTTTATTTAAGTTGCGATTCAGTGACCCTGCATACAACAGCCCTAAACCCTGCTCTATCCCTTGCCAATTTTATTGTCTCTGACATGCCTATTCCCATTATCCCAGTGACTAAATCAATCCATTTCATCAAGGGTCTTCCTCTCCTACACTGTCCCTCTCCAAGGACTGATCCCACCTTGCGACTTGTCCAAAGTATGTCAGACAGAGCTGCAGACAATATTAAAATTACAGAATTTATTGAGATCAGTTGGCCTTCCTACTGTAAGACTTAAAACTTACAGAATGAAGATAGAGGAAGTTCACCACAGCCTCCCCCTATATATACTGATTAGCATTTAAAGTTCTACACAAAGTAACTTTGAGCAGTTTAACTCATTATGGCTCCAACTCTGGAAAATCTTTAGTAAAAGACCAACACAAAGTAACTTTGAAAACTAAATTAAGAGATAAACCACTAGTTCAAGTCACTAATCCCTAAAATACAACTAATCGACTCTGAGAGTAAACAAAAGTGGAATACCCAGAGGCACAACTCCTAAATGAAACTTATTTTTTTGGTGAAAAGATTGAGAAAAGGGGACTCTAAAGGCCAAAGAACATGTAAGAAATATTATTAAGAAATTAATTGATGGAGATCTCCAACTATTAAGTATAAATTGGTTCAAATATTAAGCTTACTTGTCATATATGAATACACAAGGTAAACACAAAGCAGTACAGAAATGGCTACGAAAATGAAGTTATGAAGCAAACTACTGTTCAAGTCTCAGACTAATTCCTAATAGGACACATATGAGAAAGGTTCTAAAGCAGGACAGGACATGCCTTGAGAATGAACAGATGACTCACATGCTCTCAGTAGAAAAATAGAAACTACAAAAAAGAATCTAATAGACATTTTATACCTGAAAAATACAATATGTCTAATAAAAATAGAGTGGGAGAAAATCATTGGATAGATTCACTATTAGAAAGCAAATAGTAGACAAAAGAGTAGAGAACTTACAGTTCAAAAGTAAAGGAAATCCACACAAAAACATGTCCACAAATGATCTTAGTAGCATTATTTCATAATAACCAGAAAGTGAAGATAATTTAAATTGTTCATTAAATAATAGGTAAATAAACAAAAAGCAACATATTTATTCAATATTATTCAGCAATAAAAAAGGAATAGAGAACTGGTAGCTAGAGTAGAAATAAATAAACCTTGAAAACTTATACTAAGTGAATAAAGCCAGTCACAAAAAGTCCACAATTTGTCTAATTTCATTTGTGTGAAATATCCAAAATAAACAAATCAAAAGTTGATTAATGTCTGCCACTGACTGAGGTGAACACAATTTGGGAGTGACATAAAAGGTATGGAATTAATTTGGGGATGCTAAAAATGTTTTAAAATTAAATTCCATTAATGGTTGCATAACTTAAAACTGTAGCAACAACATCCAAAGCAAAAAGAAAGAAGACACATCACACAAAAAGAAAGACAGTATTAGTATCAGACTAGGTAAACTTCAGAACAAGAAATATGACCATTAGTAAAGAGGAGCACTGTATAATAAGGAGGTCAGTTTGATATATGTCCTTAACAGAAGAACTTCAAGTTGTAAAACAAAATGGGTAGAAGTAAAAGAATAGACAGATTCACAAATAAAAAGACTTTACAACTTTTCTCAGTAATCATTAGAACAAGTAGCAAAAAAACAAAACAGGAGACCAGAAAAGATTATCAATCAACTTGATCTGACATTTACAGAACATTCTATACAAAATATCCCATCCCAGATTATTTTTTCCAAGTATACATGGAACACCCACTAAAATAAATATATGTGCCTTAAAACAAATCTGAGGAAATGTAGAAGCATTAAAATCACTTAACTTCTTTGTCTGACTATAGCACTACCTATCTACCTTACTATGGTAGCTATCATACAAGCTTCCTCTGCTGGAAAGGACAAACTGAAGAGCAATGACTCTATTGGCTTAAAGGAAAGGCTAGTTGACACAACTATTATTCAAATGTACATATGACTCACTAATGCCAGTGATGAAAAAATGAAAGACTTTTACCAATTTATACAGTCTGAAATTGGTTAAATATACATTAAAGATACTCTGGTAACAACTGGTGATTGAAATGTGAAAGTAGCAAACAAAGTAGATTCAGACTTGGAAAATATAGTCTTGGTGATAATGACTCAGGAGACTGCAAGACAGTACTTTTTAGGACCAACAAACTATTCATTACCTTTATTTCCCCCAACAATATAAATGAAGACTATATACATAGTCCTTGACAGATGATATACACAAAATCAAACCGATTACACTGTGGAAAGACAATAAAGAAATTCAGTATCATCAGTGAGAAGGCGGCCAGAGGTGAGCTGCAGCACAGACTACTGACTGCTAATATTCAAGCTGAAGCAGAAGAAAATGAAAACAAGTCCATTAGAGCTGGAGTACAACCGCAGTATATGCCTTCTGAACTTGGATGCCATCTCCAGAACTGACATGACATACTGAATACTAAAATGACAAAGTCTGTAATGTATCAGGGATATCATACCTAAACAATGCAAAAGGTCATTAAAAAGACAGGAAAGAAAGATCAAAATAGATAATAGATGTTAGAAGAAATGTCTTCTTGAATATAGAAGAGCAAAATCACTAAATAAAAGAGCTGAAAAGATCTCAAAAGGTATATCCAAGATGATAAAATAAAACATTACAATAAATATGCAAAGATCTGGAATTAAAAAATTAAACAGATGAACATGCTTGTTATTTTTATGTGTGTGATATGACTGCAGTCTTGTATTTGAAACTCAAGATGAAAACTGCCTTCCAAACAGCTAATCAAGAAATGAAGGGTTTTTCTAACTGCCACACTCACTCTGAAGCCCTTTCATCTCTCCTTCAGTGTCCCAGAGATTAGCACATATTCTGCTTAGCGATAATAAAGTAGCAAACACGTGGCACCACTAATATCACAGGACAGTTGCTTATAAAACTAGACTTCTGATGGTGGACTCCAGCTTTGTTCTCAAGGATGACAGACTGTCATCCTCGTCCGAAAGAGCAGTTGTCTGTCCAACCTCTATTATCATACTCATACTGTCAAAGCTGGGCCTGTGAGAATTTCTTGTGGGGTAAGGGCAGGCATGGCAACAAACTCCAAGTTAGGGTCTCCAACTAGTTTTCTAGCAAGCCAAAGGAAACTTTTCAAAGTTATAGTTACTTTTGGCAGAAATATTATAGTACAGAAGAATTCTTCCAGTGGAAAATGATGGTTTTTGCCTTAAGCTTCCTGTCCATAATGCTCACTTTGTTCCCAGACAACACAATGGGTAACACATACATACTCAAACCAGATCCATATGCCAGTTAGACACGTTCTTGTAGGTAACTCTCGATGTTACATCAAACATTTTAATGGCCCAATGGGCTTGGATATAATAGCTATCCCTCAGCCCCCCAAATTTCTCCTGGTCAGCTGTATCCCACACATTGAATTTAATCTGTACTCTGTTGGTGTGAATAGGAGGGTATGGACCTTCACACCCCAGTGTGAATTCACCAGTCAGATGACGTTACACTTGGGCGGCCATTATAATAGTGCTTCCAGAAGCATCTCTGGGGCCTGCCTTCATTATTTAAGTTGATATAACTGAAGAAAAAAATTTAAGCATCTGCACACCCAAGTTTATTGTGGCTTTGTTCACTATAGCAAAGAGCTGTAAACAACCCAAGTGCCCAACAGCAAATGAATGGACAGAGAAGCTCTGGTATATTCACACAAAGGAATACTATGCAGCACTGAAAAACAAGGAACGCATGAAATATTATGCAAAATCGATGACCCTGGAGGACATTATGCTGAGTGAAACACCTCGGTCACAAAAGGATAAATATTGCATAGGGCCACTATTGTAAAATAGGACTGACACTGGGGTTGAGGGAAGACAGAGAAAAACGGGAGGAATGATGTATACTGCATTGCAACAGATGAGGGAGAGAACTGTTTAAAAGGAATATATGATGAGGTATTATTGTCATGATAAGAGGCCAGAATGATGGCTGCATAGTGCAGTGGACTTGGGGGGAGGGATTGCATAGCAATGAAAATTTTTTTTTACTTATCAAGGAGAAAAGTGAATCGTGGTGGAGGGGATGGGCAGGGAGAAAAGTGCAACAATGAATGAATGGAAACCCTAAGTCTCTGTAAACTTTTATTAAAATTAATAAAAATTTAAGAATCAGAAGCAATGTGAAGGAATTTGGAAGGTAATTAATTACCTTGTCAATCAACTAGAAGAGATCCATATTTGTGTAAATTCCAAAGAAGAGTATGTGGATCCAAAAGAATGTAGAAATTATGGAATATTATCATCATATATGAGTAAAAATTTTATTAAGATAATTCAAAATAGACCAGTGCATTAAGAGGAACTGTCAAGAAAAAGCCAAATACAGAGAAGTCATAGAAAAAGGGATATTATTATGATGTCAGATGGATCTTGGCTGAAAATAGGGAATATAAGTTACTTGTGTAACATGGACTCACAGTTACTTGTGATTTATTGACTGTAAAGGCATTCAACTGTGTGGATCATGGCAAATCATGGATAATATTGCAATGAATATGAATTCCAGAACACTAAACTGTGCTCATGCAGAACCTACATATAACCCAAGAGGTAGTTTGAAAAAGAATGAGAGGATATTGTATAGTTTAAAATTGGGAAATGTGTGCATCCTTTCACTTTACGTATTCAATCTATATGCTGGGAAAATAATCTGAGAAACTGGACTATGTGAAGAATGAGGTATCAGGATTCTAGGCAGACTCAGGAACCTGGGATATGTAATGATATAGTCTTACTTGCTGCTACTGACTCAAAAAACCCTCTAAACTCACTGCTATTGAGCTGGAATGAACTCACAGTTGACCCTCTACTAGGTTTTCAGATAACTGTCAATTGCATGGGAGTAGACTGCTTATCTTTCTCCCATGGAACCACTCTTGGATTTGGACCACCACAGAGGTTCCCCAGGTTACCAAGTCCCCTCACACAGAAAGACAGAGAGGGGGAAAAAACCTCAGGGAGAATTCTGGAGATCTGATAGTAGAATACTATCATAGATACTAGTATCATCAAAGATAAAAAGATAGCCATGCCAAATGCTCAATGAACCCTGTCCAGGAGATTCAAAAAGAATGTCACTAAGACAATCATAATCAAACTTTCTAAAGAAAAAACAAAACAAACCCCAAACACAAAAAACAACCCACAAAAAACCCCCATAAAGATTCTTGAAAGAAAAACTATTATCTCAATGGGAAAGCAATTCTCAAGAAAAATCAAACAAACAAGGTGGCAATGGGGTAATACGTAAAACCTTGAAAGGAAAAAAAAAAAGCCAACCAAGAATTGTATGCCCAGCAAAATGGTCCCTCAAACTTGATGGCTAAATTAGGGCATTTACAGATTAAACAGAAATGAAGGGAATCTGTAAAAGTAGGTCAAACTTACAAGACATTCTAAAGAGAACCAACAATGTTAGACAAGAACCACATAAAAACACATGCCGCTCTCTCCTACGCCCAGCAGCATGGTTTGGTCCACCCTGACCTTCCACGGGCATTTCTCCCCCTTTCTCATTAACTCTTTCACAGGGATTATCTATCTTTCACCAATCATGCCTCCTTTGCATTACTTTAATAAACCTTTTTCACTTGTTTTCCTAAATTAGAAACAAAACCAACACACATGTCTATACCACCTGAAATGCATTAATTCAAACTCAAAAGGCTATTGAGTTTATGATTCTAAATCCATAGGCCAGAGAAAAGATCAGTAGCTGCCAGGGGTTGGCAGTGAATGGTAATGACTACAAAGGGATAACATGACGGTCTTCATGGAGTGATGAAACAATTCTGAATCTTGACTGTGGTAGTTATTTTATTCTCTTAATTGTTAAAACTCAACTATATACTAAAGAATAGATTGTGCTGTAGGTTAAATACAAAATGGGTAATAACTAAGTAAAATTGCAAATGCAATGGCTATTTTATTCAGATTCATTTATTACTGTAACAGTGAAAACATGCTCAGAGAAACATTTTACCGGTGCCGGGACTGCAGTTTTTCCAGTGGTTCAGCCTTCCGTTGGAGCCCTTCCTGATATATCAGATCTGCTTTCTTAAAGTTTTCTCTACCTTCATATTCTTCAGCCCATGAGATATAGAACTGAGCAAGTGAAACACCAATTCCTTGATTTTGTAAATAGCTGTACACATCCAAAGGTTCATTGCACAAATGTCCCTGAAACAAATTGAAAATGTTAACAGTTAATGAATTTCAATCCACTTCCTGAATGCCTATTTTGCACCAAATAACCATAAAAGGTATTGTATGGAATTCCTTCACTTAAATATTATCTATTATAATTTAATAGAGACTACACTGAGAGGACCTAAAAAAAGAAACAAAAGATTAATTTGTGAAGAAAGGTGATTGAGAGGAAAATTTCAAAGAAGAGGTAACATTTGAGCTCGGTCTGGAAGGAGAAACAGATTTCATTAGGTGGAGAATGGGACAGGAAAGGCATTATATGTAAAGAAAATAGCATATGCAATGAGCAAAAAGACTGAAAGTATGTAGAGATGGAAGTATGCAAGATATAAGTCTAGAGAAACAAGTATGACAAGATTTCAATATCAAACTGCAACAATCTAAAATTTATCTTACAGCCAATGTCAAAGCAAAAAAATAGCCCTGGAAGTCTACTGGTACATTACTCTCTTCCCTTCCCTGTTCTGTCCAGTTAAAATACTGAATCATTTATCAAGGCTCTTCCTTTACCCCAAATGCTGACACCTGCACCTCCTCATCCAGTACAGTTGCATGGACCAACTAGATTTAAAATACATAAATAAAACAATAATCCACAACTCAAAGACAGAGGGAAAGACCTTGCAACTGGTCTTAAAGGGGTAAAATCGTTGTTCTATTAAATTCCTTCTTTAAAACAAAACCAATTTAAGAGACTATCTACAAAATGCTTATTATTCACTATTAGTTTTTAGGTTTTATCATTAAGTTTTGCCCTTTTCATTGTACCAGGTACCTCTGGAGGGGGGGGGGAATAAATTGATTAAAAATTTTAAACTCAGAAGACACTTGAAAAAGACTTACCAATTTAAGCCACAGATTGAGAAAACGAGGATCACTATAATATCGTTTTTCTCCTTGTAATACTTCTACAGCTCTTTCTAATAATGTCGACAGGTTACTTCCTTTCCCCCCCTGAGGATAGCTCTGCTCTGTCCAATTAACATACCTGAATGGAAAGAAAGGGGAAAGAATATTTTAAAACTGAACATGCATTTTTTTTTTCTTACTCTAAAACCATTCTGGATTACTTAAGCAGAAATATCAACTATATTGCAAGTACAGATATGTATCGTTTAGTGTTCTATAAAATATGTTGTTTTATGATCTGGATGTTGTCAGCATCACCTACCCTTACAGAATTACTACTTTTTTTTTTTTATTATTATTTTATTATTTTTGTGTGAGTGTACCGTCAAATCAGATCTGACTGGTACAGGAGGAGATTGTCCCTCCTTCCCTGGCAGAGCATCTGGTGGATTCGAACCGTGCGCCTCTGGGAGAATTACTACTTTTAAGACTAGAAAAACTAGATGTCGGGCTATTATTGCTGTTCACTTTGAAGGGGATCACAATAGAATGTCCCTAACATTCGGTTTGGAACTCCAGGCTCTGGCCTAGTTCCTCTTCAAGCTCGGAACTGACTCAACTTCCAGCCAATCAATAGATAAGCCTATAAAGTGATGATTAACACCAAGAAGGAACACATTCCTTAGAACAATTAGCCTCACAAAACAAGATAAGAGCATCTGCTCAGGGATAAAGCTCAGATGGCAGGAAGATAGGAAAGAAGGATGGATGGACATGGAAAAGTCAGGAAAATCAGGAAGAGTGTTATTACAATACAGAGACTATAGTCATTGTCATGAAACGTTTTGAATGGAAACTTTTTGCTCTGAAGTTTCACTAAAATCACAATAAACAGAAGAAAATATTTTAAAAATAAAACCTCATGAGAACCTGGTTTTGGCTGTCCTCATCGCCACTGCGACTGCTGGAACTTCTGGTACAAGCTGAAGTAATAACACCAGCCATGGTGGGAGTGGAGCAGGAAGGGAATGGAGAACAGAGCACACATAGCTCTGCGCAATGCTCCACTGCCTGCCCACTGCACAAAGCTCAGGAGCCTGAGAACACAACCACATCCTCTACTGCATGTATTTATACCTAACATGTGGTCCAGTGTGGCAAAAATCTGGGATTTTTAAAACTATTTGGAAAAAAATAACAAACAATAGGAGAGTCGTTTTCCCTTAAATACAACAAACAAAAATGAAATCATGGACACGTACACATTGTCTAAATGATTTTAAGCAACTTGTGCATTTATTAGAGATACCTTCCACAAGATATTGCAAGCCTATACCCTACTTTTCCAATGGAGTGCGAGCATACCTGAGAAGTGAGGATGGAATTGTAAGAATGCAGGTCAAAACCACACATCACAAACCAGTATCACATACATTCTTAAACACCCTAGGAAGATACACATTCATCTTATTCTGGCTCTCTGTGCCTCCAAGACACCACTTACTACGCTGACACATTTCTCTGCATACCCTAGTTTGAGAAGCAGGGCTAGAGGAAGTCTTGGGCTAAATTTCTATTGTTTTTATTAAGAAAAATGTCTCAGGGAGCTCTGGTGGCCTAGTGGCAAGAAGCTGCACTGCAATCCCAGCGGTAGGAGGTTCGATTCCACCAGATGCTCTGCTGGAGAAGAAGGGGCAATCTCCTCCTGTACCAGTCAGATCCAATTTGATAGTACACACACAAAAATAAAATAAAATTGAAAAAAAAAATTTTAAAAAAAGAAAAATGACTCACCTATCCCAAACATCCAGAGGGTCATTTCCACTGTAAAATCGAATTTCAGATTCAAATGCCCTGAAAGTTAAACAGAAAATGTTAGCAAATGCAATGACAAAAGCTTTATGAATAAAGACCATCCCCACTTAAGTTCATTAACTCACTTATTATGTATTTACTATCAATCTAAGTAACTCTACTATAATTTGAGGGTTTATAAAACAAGAATAAAAAAACCTGAAATACATTCTGGATAATGCCTTTAAGACAGTCTAAGTATAACTTTGTAAAGAGTCAAGGAAAGACAGAGGGCTAAGACTGACTAAACAAACCTACAGCTACTGAATGGATTCTGACTGGTGAGGACCCGGTATCAGCTTTTTAATCCTGTAAGTCATTATGGGATGAGACTACCCATCTTTCTTCTTTAAGGTGGTTGATGGCCCAGAACTTCCTACCTTTCATTTACTGGCTCAAAACTTAAGACACCACACCACTATGGCTCCTAAGACTAAGCTAACATTTGCTTGGAATAGAGGGAAAGTACTGGATAATAAATAGCAATTTGAATTAAAGATTGACCATTGAAAAGCTGGACAGTGACTAGAGCTGACAGAGGAGAATTGATGCCTTTGAGCTGTGGTGCTGGAGAAGAGTATTGAATATGCCATGGACTGCTAGAAGAACAAACAGGGTCATCCTAGAGAGGGTGAGACCAGGTTGCTCCTTGGAGGCAAGGATTCTGAAGCTTCTTCTGACATACTGTGGACATGCTGCAAGGCAGGATCAATCCTTGGAGAGGGACATTATGTTTGGGAGGCACAGCACAAGAAAGGAAGACCTTCAATGAGATGGACTGATTCAGTGACTGGAGTAATGGGAGTAGATGTGTCAAAGGCAGTGTGATTGGCACAGGATAAAGCAGGGTTTAGGGCTGCTGTACATATGGTCGCTATGGGTCAGTTGCAGGCGACCTGACAGCACATTAACAACAAAAAACAATATCACAATTACCAAGAATGGTCAGCAAAGAATTTAAGTTAGTCAAAGAATTTAAGTTAAGAATTTAATGGTCAGCAAAGAATTAAGAATTAAAAAAAAAAAAAGTACAGTATATCACAATTACAAAGAATGGTCAGCAAAGAATTTTAAGAAAAGACATAATCACAGGAATCCTCTCAGAAAGTGGGAATCTGAAAGAGGAAAGGTGAACTTTCCAAGAGGGGAAACAAGAAGTAAATGATACTGTGAAAGTGAAAGAGTTTACCCAGAGGAATTTTAATAGCCTACAAGCTACAGCATGAAGTTAGTATATGAAATAAATGGGAATGTCTTGAGATATGAGATACTGTTATGGATTGTGCTCCACTGCCTACAATATTTGTTACTTTCTGGCCCATCTATCTATGAATGTTATCCTGCTTAGAAATAGAATTCTTTTGTTATATAAATGAGATCATATCAGAGCAGAGTATGTCCTAAACCGAATTATTTGTTTATGTTTATATTAAGAACAGAGGAAAACAGACAATGGAGGCAAGTGTTTTAAATGCCCAGAAACACCACAGATTGCTGAGAAGGCACTGGTGGTTCAACAGGATAACTCCTTCGTTTTATACAGCACACCCAGATACAATCCCTAGTCGGTGAACTTCATGTGTAGCCATGCCACATCGGTCTGCATGTGGAGGTTTGTGTGTTGCTCTGATAATGTACAGGTTAATCAGAACTTCCAAGACTGAGAGGAGAAGAACTATGAAGAAAGGCCTGCCAATCTACTTCTAAAAGTCAGTCAATGAAAACCCTCTGGATCTCAACAGTGTGGTCATGGGATTGTACAACCCTGGTCAGTGTTTCTTTGTGCATAGCAGGGATGGTGCAGCCCTGGGCAATGTTTCTTTGTGCATAGCTCATCATCAGAAACTGGGGGCTGACTCAACTGTGCCAAAAATAGTCTAGAAACTGAAATGCACAAGGAAAGGTCTTTGCCAAGAGCCACATGTTGAACTTGGACTTAAGAGATTTTTAAATTGTGAAAAAGAAAACTAAGTTCTTCAAAGCCACCCAATTGTGGTATTTCTATTATGGAAGCACTGGATAGCTAAAACAGAATGCTTTAAATGTAAATTTAAAGATCTAGCACTTCCAGTTCTTGTATTTATCCACAAGCAATGAAAATGCAGGTCCATAAAAAAAGTCTTGTACAAGAAATGTCCACACCTGCTTCATTACCAATAGCACAAAACTGGGAAGAATCTAAATATCCATCAATTGGTGAATGGATGTACGAAAGGACTCAGAAATAAAAGGAACTACAAAATATAAAACTTGAAGACAGATACACACACAAAAGACACTAATATTCTATTTACATAAAAACTTATGGCAATATAAATATGACGAGTGGCTGCACTGTGAGGGCAGGAACACTGACTGGAAAGGAGCAGAATGTTAAAAAAGCAGCAGGGAAGATTAATTCCAGGCAAGTTCTGGTAGTGAAATGGAAAAGTAGAAAAAGGTCATAAATGAAAGAAAATAATTTGTATTTAACAATTTAATGCATTAAGGATACATTTCCCCAAGTATTTGTTATAGACACATAAAAAGACATCTAGAAGGTAGGTAAGAGATATGAATAGTCAACACTTCTGCAAAACCTAACTTGAAAGAACAGAGAATTAGGTCAAATACAATTCTTGCTGTCAGGTGCTATTAACTCAATTCGCAGTGAGACCTATGAGCAAAAAGGAAATCAAAACATTGCCCTGGCGAGCTCTGGTGACCTAGTGGCAAGAAGCTGCATTGCAACCCCTGAGGTGTGTGGTTCAAATCCACCAGATGCTCTGCTGAAAGGGCAGGACAATCTCCTCCTGTACCAATCAGATCCGATTTGATGGTACACACACAAAAAATAATAAAAAGGTTTTAAAAAAAACACACACAAAAAACCCCAAAACATTGCCCTATCCTGTTTATTATCCACAAACATTATATAATTTGTCTATATCAGGAGATAGCTCTGGAGGCACAGACCATAGGGAGTTATGCTACTAACCCAAAGATGGCACCTCTCTAGTGGTTCAAAACTACCAGCAGCTATGAGGGAGAAAGATAGATAACCTCCTCTCATGGAATTTATAGCCTCTGAAAACCCACTGAAGGGTAAGATATGAATCAGTCAAAACTGATTTACAGTGATGACAGCAGACATTAAGGGTAGAAATGATATTTGAGACTTTCTTTCAAAAAGCATTTTTAGCAAAACATGTATTAAGCAAAAACAAATAGCTTTTTCCCCATCCATCTGTATTTTTTAGTCTGTCTTCACAGAGAAAATAGCCCTACTGGTATAAATGCTTCACTGATTACCAAAAGGTTGGTGGTTCAAACCCACCAGGTACTATGTGTGACAAAAATGAGGCAATCTATTTCCATAGATACTTATAGTCTTGGAAACCCTACAGGGCACTTTGTAGGTTCATAGTTACTTTGTTCTATAGTTAGCTTTGAATCAGAATTGATTTGGTGGCATGGATTTGGGTTAATATTTTTATCCAGAGAATTTATAAATTATTAAAAAACTTTCTAGGGTAAATTTTATCCATCTGACATTCCTTTGGAGATCACTAATTTTTTTGGCATACTCTCCTAGATCAAAGTTAAAGATTAGACATAGGCCTTAATGCTACCTTAATAAATTTGTTAACAGGGGAGGATGACAGAAGAATCAATGTCTTTGAGTTGTGGTGCTAGAGAAGAGAACTGAACACACCATGGGTCACCAAGAGAAAAAACAGTACTATATTGGAGAGGGTGAAAGAAAGTTTCTTCTTGGAAGCTAGGCTTTTGAAGCTCAATCTCACAAACTCTGGGCACATGGCCAGGAGGGACCAGTCCTTTGGAGAAGGACATCATTCCTGGAAGGGTGGAGGAACAGGGCAGGAGACGTAGACCCGGAATGAGATGGCAGTAGGTGTCAAGAGTCAGGGAGAATGGCTCAAGGTAGGGCAGGCATCAGAGCTATTGTTTTAGGGTCACTATGAGCAACAGGCAACTTAATGGTACATAACAACAATAAACTGGTAAAGTCTGTGTTATATATATTTTTATAATTTAAAAAATCATGGAAAAGTATTACTAAAAAAAGAAAAGTTTCTAGAGAAATATCAACTGAAAAGATGTTCATTCTTCCTCAACACTCAGAAGCAATCTTTTCAGTTGATTACCAAAAGAGTTAAATCTTTTAGGAGTATAGAACAACTTGCTTTACTGTGTTTACCACTGTTCCTGTATAATATGCATTGCTATTGATATAGGAGTTTCGCTGCTTCATAATAAAATTAAAAATCTATAGCTGTTTTTAAAAAACACATTTGAGAAGATCTTTAAATAGCAGGTAGAAAACAGATTCCCATACTTTCCGTTTTTAAAAGATCCCCTTACTCCATCTTGTATGGATCCAAACCTGTATTATCTACACAACTAAGAATGTTGACAAATTGGGGCCCAAATTCTACTCACCACTTCTGCTGCTGAAGAGTAGTGTTAAAAGAAGATTCTTGATGTGCTAGCGCTTCCCGAAGTGTGGACATAATCCGACCTTGCCTTAATGGTTGTACATTTTCTTTACTCAGCTCCCATTCAGCTCCCTCCAAAGACATGGCTTCGCTGTGAAAAGGGAAATAAAAGTAAATCTCATACTAGCACTGATTTCTTTTACCACTCCCTCATTGCTGTCGAATCAATTCTAATCTCCAGTGACCCTCCATCAAATTTCTATTTTTTCTCTAGTTGTGTACCATCAAATAGGATCCGACTGGCAAGGGAAATTATCCCTCCTTCTCCAGCAGGGCATCTCGTGGATTTGATCCAAAAAATTTTCTAATAAGTCATGACTGGAGGAAATTGCCCATTTTTTCTTACCAAAGCCGGTAAACCTGAACTGTTGACTTTTTGATTAGCAACATAAAATGTACACAATATGTATGCCACCAAAGTTCCTTATTATAGCACTAGATGACTGTTAATTATTTCAGATAGGTGATAGTTTCTAGGTTAAGTATGGCAAATTGATTAATTATTGGTGCTAATACATATAAGCTTCTAAGCCTGTCATCTAGTCAACTTAGTGGCTGTAGTATCATTTGAGGGAACAGATAGCTCAGTAAAGGTAGTTATGTAACAGTTATAGCCTTAGAAATTCAATGGAGAGTTGAAGCCAAAAAGGAAGAAATAACAAAGTTAAAGAGTTGAACCAAAAGATTTCAGAGAGCAGCTTGTGAAGACAACCTATTATAACGAAATGTGTGAAGAACTGGAGTCAGAAAATCAAGAGATGAACGCATTCATTATTTCACAAACTGAGGGAACACAAGAACAAACTCAAGTCTCACATTGCAATACTGAAAGATGCTATAGACAAAAATCTTGAATGATCCAGGAAACATCAAAAGATGGAAGGAATACAGAGTCGCCATGCCAAAAAGAATTAGCTGACACAGAAACACTTCAGGAAATAACATATGATCAAGAACCAATGGTAATAAAGGAAGAGGTTCAAGCTGCTCTTGGAGGCACTGGCAAAAAAATAAGGCCCCAGGAATTGATGGAATACCAATTGACATAGTTCAACAAACTGACGCAGCCCTGGACATGCTCACTAGATTGTGCCAAAAAATCTGGAGGATAGCTGCCTTGCCAACTTACTGGAAGAGATCCATATTGATTCCCATTCCCAAAAAAGGTAATCCAAGAGAATGCAGAAATTATTGAACAATATCATTAATATTACATGCAAGCAAAATCTTTTTGAAGATGTATGACTAGAACAGTCTATCAACAGAGAACTAAGCTGGACTTGGAAGAGGTTGTGGCACTAAGTTATCACTGCTGATGTCAGATTGCTCTTGGCTAAAAGTAGAGAATACCAGAATGATGTCTATTTGTGTTTTATCAAATATGCAAAAGTATCTGACTACGTGGATCACAACAAATTGTGGCTAATATTGAGAATGGGAATCCCTGAACACTTGATTATGCTCATGTGAAACCTGCATCTAAATCAAGAAGCTGTTAAATGAATAGAGCAAGGGAACATGGCATGGTTCAAAATTAAGAAAGGAATGTGTCAGAGATGTATCTTTTCACCATACCTTTTCAATCTATATATTGAACAGATCATTTGAAAAGCTAGCCTTTATGAAGAATGTGGCATCATGATCAGAGGAAGATTCGTCAACAACCTGCATTATGCAGATGATACCATCTTGCTCACTGAGAGTGAAGAAGACTTGAAGTGTTTGCTGCAGATTAAAGACTACAGCCTTCAATATAAACTACGTCCCAAAATCAAGGAAAAAAAAAAGTTCCTCACCACCAGGCCAATAGGCTGCATCATGATAGATGGAGAAGAGATTATTAACAATTTCATCTTGCTTGGATCCACAATCAACACCCTTGGTGCCAACAGTCAGAAATCAAATAGAGCTGCACTGGGAAAACTCACTGTCAAGGACCTCTCCAGAGTGCTAAAGAGAAATGATATCAATTTAAAGACTAAGGTACACTCAATTCAAGGTAGATCTCAATTGCTTGATATGCGTCCGAGAGCTGGACAATGACCAGGGTTGACAGAAGAAGAATCAGTATCTTTGAGCTGTGGTGCTGCAGGAGAGTATTGAACATATCACAGACCGCCAAGAGAACAAACAGGTCTGTCCTGGAGAGGGTGAAACCAAGTGGCTCCTTGGAAGTAAGGCTACTCACATACTTTGGTAATGCTATTAGGAGAAGCCAATCCGTGGAGAAGAACATCATGCTTGGAAAGGTAAAGGAGTAGAAGAGATAAAAGACTCTATGAGATAGATTGACACTGTGGCAAAGGGGTCAGGTCAGAGATGGGGAGAATGGCTCAGAACAGGGCAGGGTTCAGAGCTACTGTTTATAGGGTCACTATGAGTTGGAGCTGACTCGATGGCACATAACAACCATCATCAATTAAGAAATGTTTCTTGGCTGACCCTCTAGTGGGGTTTCAAAGGCAATAAACTGTATGAGAGGAGACTGTCCAGCTTTCTCCTATGGAGCTGCTGGTAGCTCTGAATCACATGACTTTGAGTTGGCAGTACAACCCCTGACCACTAAGCCACCAGAGCCAATGGAGAGTTACTGAATCAAAATCAACTTGATGACAAGTGAACAATCACATTACTGGAATACTGGTGGCTTAGTTGGTAGTGTGCTGCTGCTACAAAAGCAAGCAGGATCTGAATCCCCTAGCAACTCCGAGAGAGAGAGACAGGCGAGTTAACAGCCCCAGAACCTCAATAGAAGGTCGCTATGAGTCAGACTCAGTGCCACTGAGTTTGGAGAGTTTAATGAGGCTAAAATTTAAGACAGAAAAAAAGGAAAATTGTTATCAATATGGCAATGAAAACAAAAAGGTAGCAGTTCTATAACGACTACTGGAAGTATCAACTAGCTTAATTTAAAATTAGTGCAAGTGTTGGTCAGTCTAATACCTATGGTGTTATTAATAACTTACAAGTTTGCATATGCAGATAGCACAGTAGAAGCATAAAAAATTAGTTCACTATAACTGGACCCTTCCAAATTTTATCAGGCTCATTGAGGGACTCCACAAAAATTTCCCCCTACACACAATTTTTAGGAAATTATAATCATCATTACTAGTTCTATACTCCAACTTTGGAGTTCCCAGGTGATTCAAACAGTTAATGCATTCAATTGCTGACTGAAAAACTGTAGATTCTAATCCATCCAGATGGGAAGGCCTGATGATCTACTTAAAAAAAAATCAGGCACTGAAAATGCTATTGAGCAGTTTCACAGACACATATGCTATAATCATGGATCACAATCAACTTTACAGCAATTGGTACTCTGTGGTCAGATAAACTCATGGCCATCAAATCCGAGCTGGCCATTAAAGAGTTCCCTCACTTGTCAGGTAGAAGTCCTTATTTCCATGATTAAAAGACTAACAGGCTTTCACCCTCTCCCCCATCCTTGGATACTCATTCTACAGGGGGAAGGTAGAAGCAGATGGGTGAGAATGTGTGTGTGTGTGTGTGTGTGTGTGTGTGTGAGATTAATCATGGGGTCCTACAATTTGATGGGGAGAATGAGGGAAATGGGAAGGATCTGGTGTGAAAAACAATGTATTTGAATTTTGTAAATAAACTAGTATTTAAAAAAAGACTAACAGATGTGGATCTTCAGTGAGAGTGAACTCAGTCTAGGTGAGAGCTGTAAATCTTGCAAGAAAGTAGCATAGGAGCACGAATGCAAGGCCTACTTGTTAATGGTGGAGTATCAGATCTGGTAGCAAAAGAACAGGAGAAGATAAAATGAATGGGACCTTATAAAATCAAATACTTGTTTATTGTAGGACTTCATAAACAAGTGAAAAGAATAGGAGAAAATTTTTTAGTGACCCTCTATGAGGTGGATTGATTCAGTGACTGGGGTACTCAGGATGGGTGTGTCAGGGGCAATGAGATTGGCACAGGATAGAGCACGGTTTAGGGCTGTTATACATAGGGTCGCTATGAGTCGCAAATGACTCGACGGCACATAACAACAACAACAACATATATGCAATTGGAAAGCTCTGGTGGCCTAGTAGCAAGATGCTATGCTGCAATCCCAAAGGCACAGGGTTTAAGACCACCAGCTGCTCTGCAGAAGAAGGATGGGCAATCTCCTCCTGTATGACTAACTGCCTCTGAAAACCAGCCAGAGGGTCAGCTATAGGTCAGTTCCAACTCTACAGTACACAACAACGTATCAATCAGGGTCTAATGTCCGAAACACTTGACATGATCTTGTACAACAAAAAGGCATAGAAATTTAAAAAAGGGGAAAGTCTTAGAATAGATATTTCATTAGAAAGGTTATTCACATGGTCAACAAGCACATGAAAAGACTCTCAAAGTCACTTGCCATGAGTTGTCAGGTACTGGCGAGAAGCTTCAACTCAGAGACCTCATGTGACAGAACTGCCCCATAGGGTTTTCTAGGCTATAGTATTTATGAGAGATCAAAAGGCTCTTCTCCGAGGGCTGCATGGTGGAGGGGACCTGGGGGAGTGTTTGTAAAACAATGAAAGAATCTTTTCTTTTACTTTTCCATAATTTTTGGACTCATGTACTTATAACTTGTTAGTCAAATTCGTGTCTTCTAGGTTGCAACACCCCCATGATACATCTTGAAGGATATGTACATGTACAGCCAAGCACAATCAATAAGAATGCATCTGAATTCCAAAATCAATCTCCATAATAGTCTATGTGTTTCCTACTGCCAAAGGGGCCCTTTAGAGTAGTGAGAGAAGATCTTCACCCTGAAACCCACAGCATCCCTTTTCAGCAGGAAGTAGCTAAGAGAATACGCCGTCCCCTTTTCCTTATGACTCAGGGTGAAGTCTCTCTCAGGGAGGAGTGATAGGGAATGGCAAAGGACACACTGACAAAGAAGATTAATCAGAACTGGCTTTGACAAGCACTGTGGCATTTGGACAAGAACAAACTGGGAGGAGGGTAGAGAGAATAGTGCAACAATGAATGAGTGAAAGCCCAAAATCTCTGTAAATGTTTATGAAAATTAATAAAATATAATTATAGAAAAAAAAACCAAACAA